ATCCTATATTCCACTCATCTGACATATGGTTCTGCTTTGTGTTATATCCCTTTAGAATGATTTTCTTCTTGTTAGTTGATATCTCCTATTTTTTTTAATGCAATGCCAACTCACATGTGTAAAACAAAAAAAAGAAAGAAAGAAACTAAGGTAAATAGAACTGATGCCTGGGAATGAGTGTGCCTCATTTTCTCTGACTGAGTTTGACGTTTTGAGAGGAGCAGGTTTGGGGTATTGCTGTTGCCATCGTGGCAGATTTTTGCAGTGGTTGGCTGCTGTCAGCTTGAACTGAGGGTGGAAGCTGGGGTGTCAGAGAATTCTTTTGGTCTTTCTTTTAATTCCTTCCTTCCTTTACCTGCCTTCCTTCCCCTTCCTTTCTTTCCCCTTTCTTTCGTTGCTTTCTTTTCTTCCTTCCTTCCTTTTTTCACTGAGCTATAACTCACATCCATACAATTCACTCATTTCAACTATACAATTCAATGGATTTTAGTATAATCACACAGTTCTGCAACCATCATCAGAGTTAATTTTAGAGTGTTTCATTATTAAAAAAAAAAAACTGTACTTGCCAAGAACTGAAATAGGCGAAGGGTTTCTGTTTCAGGGAGTTTTAAAATTCTGGAATTAGATCGTAGTGCTGTTTGTGAATGTTGTAAGTTCAATTAATGTCATTTTAACATTTAATTTGTTGTAATATATACCGTTCCACAAGTTTTTAAAAGCTTTTAAGAAGAAATCCTTTAGCTATCATTCTCCAATCACTCAACCCTCCTAGCTCTAAGAAAATACTACTCTACTTTCTGTCTGTATAAATTTGCTCATTCTAGAAATTTCATATAAATTGAATCATGTAATGCATGGCTTTTGTGCCTGGCTTCTCTCACATAGTGTGTTTTCACCACTCATCTGTGTACAATATATCAGTACTTCACTCCTTTCTATGATCAAATACTATTTCACCACACAGATGATGCATTTTGTTTATCCATTCGTCATCTGATGGACCTATGTCTTTTTTTTCCATTTGGGGGCTATTATGAATAATGATGGTATAAAGATTTGTGTACAAAATTTTGTGTGACTGTACCTGCCATTTTTCTCTTGGTATATGCCTAGAAATAGAATTTGCTTAGTCCAATGGTATTTGCACGCTCAACTCTTCAAAGAACATCCAGACTGTTTTTCAAATTGTCAGCACCACTTTATATCCCAACAGTGTTTGAGGGTTCTGTTTTCTCCATCACATGACCTTTTGTCCTCAGCGATTTTAGTGAGTGTGAGTGGTATCTGCTTGTGCTTTTGATTCTTATTTCCCCAATGACTGATGATGTTGAACATCCTTTCATGTGCTTATTGACAATTTGTGCATCTTCTTTGAAGAAGAGTCTGTGCAGAGCCTTTGCCCTTTTTCTTTTTTCTTTGGTCCTGGGGATTAAACTCAGGACCTTGCGGTTGTGACTCAGGCAGAGGCACCACTGAGCTAAACCCGCAGTCCATGCCCATTTTTTTCCCATGCCCATTTTTAGTGGGGTATTCTTTTGTTATAAGAGTTTCCCCGTAAGGTCAACATTGAACCTAATCATTGAATTTGATTCTGTTCTTGTCTAACTGTCTTTGCAACCAGAATATGGAAAGAATCAAGTTTGCTAACAGAGGCACCACCATTATGTCCTTTTCAGATATATGCTTTGTAAAAATCTTGTCTTCCATCCTGTGGGTTGTCTTCTAAATTTCATGATAGTGTTCTTGCAAGCACAAGAGCTTTGTAATTTCTCAGTGCTCACAGTTCACCCTCAGTTTTCCATCCTCCCTATGCACTTGGGTCACAGGGTAGATAGATCTCTGCCCATGCTCTGCCTTTCCTGAGCAACAGACTACTGCTGGCTTCTTTCTCTGCTACAAGATCATGGTGGGTGTGGCGGATTCTCTAGTATACAGGTCAGTAAGGGTCTGAAGCAGGCCCAGGTTCATCTGGTCTCAAAGGAGACCATCCTTTGAGGCAAGACTGTGGCAGGGGGAGGGTGTGATACTAAAGATTGAACGGAGAGCCTCTGCACTGAGCTACATCTCCAGCTTTTTAAATTTTTATTTTAAAATAGGATCTTTCTGAGCTGGGCATAGTGGCGCACGCCAGTAATCCCAGCACCTGGGCGGCTGAGGCAGGAGGATTGTTGTGAATTTGAGACCAGCCTAGGCTACATAGTGAGTTCCAGGTCAGTCTCAACTACATAGTGAGACCCTGTCTCAAAAGACCAAAATAAATAAATAAATAAATAAAATAGGATCTTTCTAAGTCACCAAGCTTCCTCAAGTTGAGCTCGAACTTGCAATCCTTCCTCAGCCTCCTAGAATGCTAGGATTGCAGGTATGGGCCACCAAACCTGGTTTGTAGGTAGAGCTTTGTCAAAATAAAAACTTTAGACAAAATAAGTATAACAGAGTTTCTATGAGTATTAAAGACTTCACCAATTGTACAGTATTCAAAACTGCTAGATCATCAGAAAGCCCTGCTCCAGCAGCATGAGCAGCCAGCTTTTGTAGGTGGAACACAGAGAAATAAAGAAAATAAATTACTTGTCTGCAGATAGGCATTGGTTTTATTTGTGTGAGATCTACAGAAAGTCTCTAGTTAGAGGTTAGTTGACATTTTCACGTGGTTACACTGAGTTGTGTTTTATTTTTCTTGTGTAGGGACCTGTGGCACTGGAGCTATGTCTCCCTAATGACCTCTAATTAGTTATTTCACCAGCATTCTCAGCATTTCTGGGCCTCTTCCCATGCAGATACCCCTCCTGCTTTGTATAGTTACTCTTGAGTAGAAAAGAGTTTCTGGCCCCTCTCCAAGTGGGATCCCACCTCTAACTGGTATCAGTACAGGATCCTTGGACAGAGACAATTTCTCATCCCTCCCAAGGGCAGGAATTTTGTTTGTTTGTTTGTTTGTAACCCTCTTATAACAGTAGGCTTTTTTTATTTTTTATTTTTTTCGGTAATGGGGCCTTGTGAATGCTAGACAAGCACTCTACACTGAGCTATTCCAAGCCCCACGATAGCCTTTTTTTTTGTTACCAGGGATCGAACTTAGGACCCTGAGCTTGTGAGGCAGGGAGTAGAACCACTGAGCTAAATCCCTGGCCCCACAATAGCCTTTTTTTGACAACGACAGGCCATTATAGAGGTGAAATTCTAAGGGGCATTTGAATATTGCTTGTGTTCCTCTCCCAGTGGCAGTGTACATCTGCCTGGACCCTGAGGACAGGATCACCTTCCATCCCTCCTCTATAGGTTTCAGGTCTTTGCTTTGTGGACAGCTGAGCCAGAGCAAAGGGTGGGGCTTCTTGACTGTGAAAGCAGTGTAGCACCCTGCCCAATCTTTCTGTGGGCACTTGGAGGAGGCCAGGGAGAGATCACCTATGACCTGAAGCTTAGCCATTTCCAGCCAATGCTAGGCCATTGTAGAATTTTAAGAATTTATTAAAATATTATTAGATTTCTTCATGTCTGTTGGTATGCTGGCTCCCTTTCTCATACTGCCAAAGGTGAAAGAATTCATGCGTCCAGTCTTGGAGTACACTTGTTGTTCATGTGACAGGCCTCAGAAGATTTGCCACATGAATTCTAAGCAGAAGGCCAACTTTGAACTGCTGCGCAGGAAAAGAACAGTGTTCCACTAGGAATCATTCCTATCTGCAGGGCTGTAGATCAGGGAGCTGTGGGCTAAGTGCCCCATGGAATGACCTTGACCAAATGCCCTCAGCCTCCCCAGCTGTGCAGACAGTCCCGTGGACAAGCAGAAAGGGCAGAAGCTCCAGAGTTAGGCTGGCCGAGGTAACCCCACCCTGTACAAGCAGTGTGACCCAAGGCAAGCTACTGGACCTCTGTGTGCTTCAGTTACCTTATCTGTCCAATATGGGTAATCATAAAGCCAACCTCATAAAGATGATGTGAACATTAAATGTGGCCAGAAATCTTCCCCACAATGCCTGGCACGTTGCATTAGTTCTGATCATTACTACTATGAGTTGTAATAATGAGAGTAGTGGTACAGTGCCATACTATTGCTTACGGTGTCTCCAAGATTCCAGTGATGACTGTTTGGGACACAATGGAGTTTTAATTTATTTTGATAAGAAGATCTGGGAGGCTAGGTAGTAAATTGATTAACTTCAGAAGGAATGGCAGGCTTGTTTTTGCTTTCGCACCTTTGGCCCAGTCCCCGGCTGATGCCAAACCATAATATCTGTCTGTATTGTGTCAGGAGTCAGGGTGGGGAAGGAATTAAGGGTCCTGTTTGGAATAATCACAGAGATGGTGTCTTCTCCTCTATATTACAAATCACATAAATTAGCAACAACAGAATGTGGGAAATCAGAGCCCTTATGTTTACAGAACAGTTTGTTAAAAAGCAACTCATATTCATAGTCTAAATTATCAGTGACAAGGGTGTTTGGGGGGTGTGAGTCAGGAATAGCTAATCCCAGTTTGACAGCAGAGTGAGCCCAGGGGTGGTGGGGAGGACATTAGGCCAAGGTCACCTAGTGGGATCTGGTGGTGCTGGGCTGGACCCCAGGACCCAGCTTTTTGTGCAGTGCTCATTCCATGAGCTCCAGGCAGTGAGGAGCCTGCTTCCTGGCATTTCTGCAGTATCTGGAACTTTCTGTGGTCAGAGGGTGGGTAGCAGTTGGCCCGGCAGAGAGGCATGAGATGCCCAGACGGCACAGGTGGACCTTGCTCCCTACCCTGACACTAGACATAGGCACCTCCAGTGAGGAGAGGGAATCTTCTATTGCTACTTCCTGGTTGGATGAGCCTGATAGGTCAGAGGAAATTAGTTGAATGAATAAATAAATAAATTTCTCTCAACATTTTTTTTCAGTGCTGATGATAAGCCTCAAGTCCTCACTGCATGTACAGCTCCAGACCCATAGGAAATCAGTACTAAATGTTTCTGAAATAGATCAAGCACCTAACCCAGTTCTTACACAGATCAAAGCATCAAAACAACAAGAAACAAGAGGGGTTGGAGGGAATGAGAGATTATTATTTAATGGGATAGAGTTGGTTTTGCAAGATGAAAAGAGGCCTGGAGAACGAAGGTGGTGGTGATTGTATAACAATGTACCTCACCTGAACACTGAGAAATTATTAAGATGGTAAACTTTATTTATTTGTATTTTATCACAATTGACAATTAGAAAAAAGTTAGATGTGGTGATGCATGCCAATAATCCCAGCATTTAGAAAGCTGAGGCAGGATAATACAGAGTTCAAGGCCAGCCTGGGCTACATAGCAAGTTACAGGCCAGCCTAGGATAAATAGCAAGACCCTGTTTCAAAATATAAAAACAAAATAAAAAAACTGAAAAGAGAAATCTGAAAAAATAAATATATTTTCTAAAATACGTTTTTGAAAAAATAAATAAATAAAATACCACTACTCTCTGAATAAACTCAGGCAGGGAAAGGGGTTAAGGGCTAATCTTCATCACTTCTATTCATGATAGCAAACAGAAAGAAAGGAAACAGGGCTTGGCTGTGCCATACAGTGGGTGGTGTAAGAGACATACCCAGTACCTTTCCAATTAGCCCACCTGCTCTGAGCACCCAAGGCATCAGGTCCTGGGGCCTGCTCCTTTCTGAAGCCAGGAGAAGCATTTGTAGTGGTGAGACAACAGCCTGTTGCCCCTTCTCCAGGGACTCCTTTGTGCAATGTCCTTTAACTTTCACGAAACGAGGGAGTTATGTCAAGCCAGGGAGGCCACAGGACCAAGCCAGTTATACAACCCCAACTTGGTACATAACAAGAACAAAAATAGACACCAGCTCTCCAGAGCTCACTGTGTGCCAGATGCCTGCCAACTGCTTTATCCTACTTAATTCTCACAACAAACTGTATGCTCAGTCCTGTGGCTATCTCCATTGACAAATGGCAAACCCAAGGCACAGGCCAGGTAAGTAACTGGTCTATTCATTTGCAGGAGTGCCGGGTGTGGGAGGAGGAATTGAGGCTAGAATACTGTGCTCTGAAATGCTATGCAGTTCCCTATGTCACAGCTAAGGTAATAGAGTCCCCTAGAACCTTGGTTGACTTCCTTAAATGGACTCAGCCAAGGTGATGTAGAGGTGGAGGTGAGATCCCAATCCCTCAATTTTCACAATGGTGCCTTTCCACCACGAAAAGTCTCACCTGAAAATGAGGAGGTATAGATTGCCCAGAGCCTCTACCTTGAAAGCAATGTGGTAAAGGGGCTGGTAAAGGAATATTTGCCTTGTTGACCCACATCCTGAAAGATCCCCTGACCAGACGCTGCATGTTCTAAGGAGAGGTGATGGTTCAAGGGGACACCCCAAGGACTGAGGGGCCACAGAAGCCTCAAGAAACCTTCCTAACCCAGGGCTGTTGGGGCCTTCAGAGGTGGTGAAGGCAAGCAGATAACACACAGGACAGGGGCCACAGGATTCTTACATCCCTGCCTCACTCCCAGCCTATACAATATTCCCTTTGTACAGGAGTTGCAGGAGACAGTCACAACAAACAGTCCTAGGCCCCATTCCCTGGTTTCCCTGGATGCAGACCCTGAGATAAGGAATTATTAAGGAAATGTCTCAGGGAGAAAAAGAAAGGGCTCAGGGTGGGGAAAGAAACTAAGCAAGCTTCAATTCCAGGGCCAGCAGCCTCAACCTGATCCCTCATGAGGCCCTGGAATGTGACTTATGCCCTGGAGTTTGTTCCAGCTTACAGCAAGGCAGCTGCTTTTTACAACTTAATTTTGGTTGAGAGTCATCTTGGGTGGGATTAGACAGTGTAATTCCCAGGTGTTCACCAGGCTTTGCATGCAGGGACAGTGTCTTCAGCTGTTCACAGTGAGCCCAAGAGAGGCACAGGCAGGCTTAGTAGCACAGAATAGAGCACTCAGAAATGATGCAAAGGAGGGACTGGGGATTTAGCTCAGTAGCACTGTGCCTGCCTTGCAAGCACAAGGTCCTGAGTTTGATCCTTGGTACAAAAAAGAAAGAAATGATACAAAGATGTCTGAGGTCTGGGAGTATGACTTATCAGTAGGGTGCTTGCCCTAGCATATTCCAGGCCCTGGGTTCTCTTCCCAACACTGCAAAAAAACCAAGGGGATGGAGGAATCTGGTGGAGCATGTCAGTGGCCCTTACAGCACCCTCAGGATCTCTCTTTATCATTTCAGGATTCTCTCCAACAGCACTGGACCCATGGGAGGAGTGAGGGGCCATATAGACTGGGTACCCCCAGCATGTTCTTGAGTAGGAGCTTTGCAGGTGAGTGGTCAGAGGAGCCCCAAAGAACTCTAGGTAGCAATTTGGCAGTGGTAAGGAGTCTGGATCTCTGCCCTTTCAGCTCTTGCTATTACACACAGCCATGTCCACTCTGACACATGGGGACAAGAACACACTCGTGTGAATGTGAATGTAGAAAATGTTGTGGCATGTATGGATGTGCACCTACAGACTTATGCACAGGTGTGTACATGTGTTCATGTAAGTCTATGTACACGTAGGGCTACTCTTACGGAAACTGACCCACAGATACGCACACATATTTGTGCACATGTCATCAGAAGTGTGTCTAGCCAAGGTCTTTTTTATTCTTGGCTCTTAGGGAAGGGAAGGGAAAGAGGATGGGCAGGCAGGATTCAGGGCCAGGCCAGTTGCAGCTGGTCACTAAGGACTGAACTTTGGATGGAATGACCCAGATCACGCTGGTCCCAGAGCCCAGGCTCATGTTTGTCCAGAGTTGCCTATGGGGGACTGGTCTGGGAGCTGAGCTGCTGCCCTGCCCCCAAGGTTCCAACTCCCCACCTTTGACCCAGGCTTTAGAGCCAGCCAGGGTCCACGGCCTCCATTTGCACAGATGAAGAACAGTGCAGGGAAGAAAATGAACTGGTTTTCCTGACCCCCCTAGCCATAGCCCTGGTCTGTTCCCTCTCCAGGTGACAAGAGTCAGGGAAGCAGGGAGGTCAGTGCAGAATTGGACCAAGCCTGGCTCTGAGGGGCCTTCAGTCTAGTGGAGGCCATAGGCTTTTGCAGAGTGTGGTCAGTGTTTGGGCACAAGGCAGAGGCCTTGAAAGCCCAGATGGGATACTAACAGCCTAAAGGGAGTTGGGATAAGGGAAATCTTTCTGGAGGAGGTGAGGTCAGCAATAACATAAAAGACGAAGAAGAACTGGACTTGGACTGTAGAAGGCATCTTACGAAGAGGAAGTAGGTTGTGCAAAATGCTTGTTCTAGGAAAAGCAAGTGCTCTAGGAAGGGAAGTTCTTCCATGAGAGGAGCTGGGGCGGAAGACAGGAGCCAGAAGCCAGAAGCCAGGCTGTAGTAGCCAAAACCCTGGGCCATCCTGAAGGCACACAAACCCCACAGAAACTTCAAATCAGGGCACTCGTGTGGCCAGACTAGGCTGAGAAGCTGTTTCTGGCTTAGGACAGATCTGAGATGGAAGATAGGGCAGATGACTCAATGGGGGCTGACAGAGGTTTTACAGGCAAGAGAAAATAGGGTATTTTGTGATTATTGACAGAATAGAAGAATAGAATATTTCCTTAAAATTTTAATTGGCAAACTTCAAACCAGCTATTTGAATATACTTTTTTGTAACAGAGGTCTACAAATAAGAACAGAATTCTTTTTTAAAGGATAACATTTCACTTAAAGCTATGGTCCTGTCATCAGATTGATTGCAAGTGTTTGTCTGCAAAAACTCCCCTTGGCTCACAGATCATTTGAACAAAGGCTGCAGTTTGCTGACCCCTGGTCTGGACTGATGGGGCCTCAGGGGACATGATGAGAAACTAGAAGGCTCTTCCCCGCCTTTCTCACCCTCTCCCTGCTAAACCACATTACTAAGCATCGCTCAGTTCCTAGGAGGGAATGAAATCCTTTAGCTAATAGGAAGAAACTAAGTATATAATTATCCTCAGGGTGAGAAGGACCTCAGAGGTCCTTCTCCAGACTTTTCCTAGGGTAAGATTAACATATATGTGCTTCTTGGAGATATGGAGACTGATCTTGATTGGGTTTGTCCTACAAATTGCTAACAGAACTGGGATTTGAATTCAGGATTCAGGATCCCCAGCCCTGGTTCCTTTGCTTGTACCACCATGTCCTTACCATGGATCCTGACCAATGTGAAAGAGAGCAGCACTTGCAGAAGGAGTGGTATTAGGGTTCGTCTGCCCAAGACAAGGTGGTCTCAGGCTCCTGCCTTCCCCTTCCACCAGGCACATGGTAGATCAGCCTTTCTAATTTACTTATATTTACATATGTAACTCCCAGACAGGGATCTGAAGTTCAGGGAGAATTAATAATTTGCCTAGAGTTTGTGGTAGGTTGAAATGACCCCCAAGGGTATCTATGTTCTAATCTTTAGAACTTGTGAATGTTACATGGCAAAAAAAAAAAAAAGAAAAAAAAGAAAAAAAAGAAAAAGGAGTCTTTGCCAATGTGATTAGGTCATGGTTTGGGAATAAGGAGATTATCCTGGATTATCCAGATGGGCTCTAAATGCCATCACAAGTGTCCTTATAAGAGGGAGCCCAATAGATTTTTATCAAACACAGAAAGGAGAAGGCCACGTGATGACAGAAGCAGAGATGTGATGATATTACTGGTTTTGAAGATGGAAAAAGTCTATGAGCCAAGAAATGTAGCCCTAGAAGCTGGAGAAGATGAGGAAACAGATCTTTCCCTAGAGCCTCTGTAAGAAAGGTGGCCCTGTTGATGCCTCGTAAAGGTGACATTACTACCATTGCTTTCAGACTTTCAGCCTCCAGAACCATGAGAGAGAGTAACTTTCTATTGCTGGGGATTGAACCTAGGCCCTGACACATATTAGGCAAGTGCTCTACCACTGAGTCACACCCCCAGCTCATTTCCATTGTTTTAAGGGACCAAGTTTATCATAGTTTTCTTTAGCAGCCTCAGAAAACAAATACTGCGTCCCATAGCAATTTTCTTAATTGTCAGTAAGCTTCTAATTTTAGAATAGTTTTAAATGTATATAAAGTTGCAAAAATAGTAGAGTTCCTATATACCCTTCACCCTAAAATGTTACCCTGTGTTACTATACATTTGTCACAACTAGAGACCCAAGACTGGTACATTATTATCTTCTAAACTCAATATTTTAACTATAGTTTTTCCTAATGATTTATGTCTGTCCTTAGATCCCACCCAGGATGTCATACTACATTTAGTTGTCGTGCCTTACCCTGTTCTGGTCTGTCTCAGTTCTCAGACTTTCCTTGTTTCTGATGACCTTTAGTTTTTTGTTTGTTGGTTTGTTTTCTGGGTTTTTTTTGGTATCAGGGAGCGAACGCAGGACCTTGCACTTGCAAGGCAGGCATGGTGCCACTGAGCTAAATCCCTGGCCCTGATGACCTTTGTTTTTGTTGTTTGTTTGTTTGTTTGTTTTTTGAGACATGGTTTCACTATGTAGTTGAGACTGACCTGGAACTCACTATGTAGCCCAGGCTGGTTGCGAACCCACAGCAATCTCCTGCCTCACCTCCCTGGGATTACAGGCGTGCACCATTACACCTGGCTGATTACCTTCAGTTTTGAGGAGTACAGGTCAAATGTTATGAAGAATGTCCCCAAATTTGCATTTATTGAATGTTTTTCTCTTGATTACACTGGAGTTATGGAGTATGGGAGGAAGACCATAGACATGATGTGACACTCTCAACACATCATATCAAAGATACACGTTAACTTTACTTTTTAGTTTTTTTGGTACTGGGGATTGAACTTGGGACCTTGTGCTTGGGAGGCAATCAGCGGTACCACTGAGCTAAATCCCCAGCCCCATGCTATCAGTATGACTTATCACAGTGACATTAACCTTGGTCACCTGCCCAAAGGAGTGTTTGCCAGGTTTTTCCATGATAAAGTTTGTCTCTGTACCTGCTTCTCCACCCAACTCTTTCTATAATCCACTCTTGGAAGGAAGTTCAGTTCCACTTCCTTGTGAGAAGAATAGCCTTAAAAATTACTTGGGTTTCTTCTATAAGAGAGATACAATTTCCCCCCATTTACTTATTACTCTATCATCTCTGTCAGTGTATGAGCAGGGATATTTATTTTGCACTTTAGATTAGAATCCCAATGTTATGTATCTGCTTTGTTGCTCAAGTTGTTCCTGCCTTGGTTATTGGGAGCTTTTCCAGTCTAGCTTCTATGCAAAATGCTCTATCATCTTATTTCTGATCATGTCTTTCCTTTCTGGCATTTTTCCTGCTCTAGCCCTTGATTCAGCCATTTCTCCCAGTATCTCAGGACCCCCTCCCTCATCATTTTAGAGAAAGGAGTTAGAAACAAAGATCTGGGCTCTACATGTACTAGTTGCTACCTGGGTGCTATTGCTTCTGGCCTCTCTCAGAGACATAAGAAATACATAGATGTATGTATACTACTCCATGTTTACACACATATTTATAATTATTTCTGAATCTGCCCGTATGTACTATAGTAAGCTAAAAGTACGTTGATACAGATGTGTCCCACTAGAATCCTTTACCATATCAATCACCATAGCTGTTTTCCATTTCAACAGTGAGGAAACTGGATCCCAGCATCTGTCTGATTAGTCTTCTAATATCATATACAAGTCCAGCCATTTCTCAACTGTGAATCTGCACCTAAGAGAAATTTAGCTCTACCAACTTCATAACAAGTTTGTGTTACCTTATTCTGACGTAAGTCTTGCAGTTTCAGATTGAAATCCTTTTTCTCTGAGTCACTTAGGTCCATCCTTTATACTACCCACTTCCTTCAGTGGTGGTTCTCACACATCTATGGTCCAAATTCAAATTCTTTCAGCAGCACAGTCCATATTTCACTCTTTAGTTTCACACTTTAGGGGTGAGTTTAAGATTTAAATCCTATACATTAAAATTCACTTTATGGTTGTAACCAATCATTACACCAAGTAGACTCCAGTACAACATCCCATGGATTTATTCCACACCCTAAAAATGTCCCTGAGCTTCCCCAGTCAAAGGCTCCCTAAGTCCCTCAAACTTGCTGATCTAGTTTTGGTCCCTACATTTTATCCTTTTCCTGAATGTCATCTGAATGAAATATTTCAGTGAGTAGCCCTTCTGGTTGGGTCTTTCACTTAGCAAATGTGAAATTGATTTAAAATTCATCCATGCTATTGTGTGAATTAGAAGCTTATTTCTTTTTACTTCTGAAGAGTATTCATTGTATGGAAATATCACAGTTTGTTATTCACTCGCCCTATTGAAAGATATGTTGGTTATTTCCAATTTTTGGTGATCATGAATAAAGCAGCTACCAATATTCATGGCAGATTCTTGTATCCTATTTTGTATTCTTGTTTTCAAATCCATTGGGCAAATATTAAGGAGCTCAGTTGCTGTTGATTAACTTTGTGAGAAACTGTCAATCTGTCTGTCAAAATGGCAGTCAGTACCATTTTGAACAGTTATCTTAAATTACACAGTTTAAATCCAACTTCTTTGATCATCCTTTTGCTTCGTGAACTGGTAAATCGGATAACACTTCACAAGACAGACAACACAGGCCATATAGTCAGATCTAAGTTCAAATCTGACTGTTCTACTTGCAAACTGTGTGACCACTGACAGGTTACTTAACCTCTCTGACTTTCATGTTGGGACTTAACTCTTCAAATACACATGATATGTCACAGGTCAGGTTCTCCAGGAGGTGAATTCTGAGATAGTGTTTAGGCTTCAGGATGTTTATTAGGGACAACACTTGGGGTCAACCCCTGGGGAAGGAAAGCAGGCAGCAGCATTAGGTAGAGGGAAAAGTCCAGCTGCACTGGCCTGTCGGAGGTGTCCTATGTGGGACTAGAGTGACCAGATCTGCCATTGGAAGTGTGCTGTTGCAAAGGCAGCTGAATTCTGCAGCAGAGGGGGTCTCAGAGGGGCTGATGGCTGGAGCAGCAAGTCCTTCTTTCAGGGGCATCTGGGTGGCACATTCCTCTGTCCCCATCCCCAGGCAGCAGAAAGAGCAGTGGGTGAGAGCTGGAGGACCAGGCCCCACGCTCCCTTTCCAGCTGTATGACACGAAACAAGTGTCACCCTCTGGGAGTCTCCTCAGCTTACCCAGCCATATGTGGCGAACATGACAAGACAGAGCAACCTGTGTGTAACACTCTGCTGTTCACTGAGGACTTTTGTGTCACGTAACTCACAACATTACAATGCAAATAGCCACAAAAATGAGCTCCAGGGCAGGGCTACTCCAGTGTGGTCTGGGGACCAGCTCACTGCTGGTTTCTGATGAAATGGGCACAGAAATGGAGGAACTGTTCAGAGATTCCAGAGCAATGTGGCAATGTAATTTTATGTCCATTGAAATTACTAATAAAACGTTGTACTATGTGTCTTGGCTTTCTTTCTCATTCTTCTTACGATTTATATTATGTTTTACAAGAGGGTAGGGCCCATAAAGGACTAGAAAAACAAACCAAAACTAAAATACAGAAAAGTTAGTCATCTATCACAGACATTTTGAAAAACATTGATATAGGGCAACTCCAAATGCAGTTTTGACAATTTCCGCTGTTTTTTTTTTTTTTAGATTGAATGGTTCTACTATTTGATCTAATTGTTGACATTTTATTGATAGGGCCAAGCTTTTGTTGCTGTTTTTATTTTTTTTTTTAAGATTTCTTCCAAAGGGCCTGTCAGAACCGGACATGGTGGTACACGCCTGTAACCCCAGCACTGTGGAAGGCTGAGGCAGGAGAAGGGCAAGTTCGAGTTCAGCTGGGCAACTTAGTAACTTAGTGAGATCGTGTCTCAAATGGGCAGGGCTGGGCTGGTTGTGTATCTCACAGTGAAAAGGCCCTGGTTTCAATCCTCAGTACCACAAAAGCGGTGCTGGGGGCGGGGGTCTTCCAGAGGGCATCTGCCTGCCTATCTTTCCTATGATACAGAACCTAAGAAATGCTCACATCTGCTCTCTGACAGACCTGCACTGTCAAAGGACTTTCCAAAGCCATTCTCAGTGTTTGTAAAGCAGCAGAGGAAGAAGAGGTAACGTTTACCGAATGACCATTTCTGCATAAATCATTTAGAGGTGAAGAAACTGAGGCTCAGGAAGGGGATGTGATTTGTGAAGGGTCACACAGCCAGGCAGGGGAGGATGGTCTCAGGTCCCTGACGTTTCCCTTAGGCCATCCTGGCTGATCGGAGGCCAGCGCTGGGCAGAACGGAAGCAGCATGTCTACACACAGGCAGCCATTGTGAGCCAGGATTCTAGGAAGTCCTTTAAGCTCTCTGGCAGGAATTTCATTTACTATGAAGAGGTCGTTGTGGATGTTGCTGAGACGATGCATGGAGCACATCCCAAAGCCCAGCACACAGTAGGCCCTTAGTCAGTGCCTCAGAGTGCTGATGCTGCCCTTGCATGGGGGCATAAGATGTTGCCCAGTTCAGCCAGCCCATGACATCTTCGACTCATGTGACCTGGCCCATGACCTACATCAGCTCAAGCACCTTCCAGGACTCCCTCCAAACCTGGGGGAAATTCCTGATTCTGTGACACTGAATTCCAACAGAGAGCAGGCAAGGCAAAGGCAGGGACCTGCTCTATCTCTGCCACCGCTCTTATCTCTAGCACCTGATCCATCACAAGGCTCAATAAAAGTTTGCTAATCAAAGACATAAACCTCTAGTCTTTCCCTGAAACCACATCCTTGCACCCAAATCACACCCATGACCACAGCTGTGTGCTTGTGCTTTTCCTCCTCTCTGCCACTGCTCACTCTGCAGCCTCTATTTGATACCCTCCCTGCCTCCTTCTGGTCTTAATAAAGCAGGGACTCCTTGCGAGCCTGCCTTGGTTCATGCCACGTGGCTGCTCATCCTGTTCTCCTTGCCATCCTTGGCCAAGTCACTGTAAGGCACTGTCAGGTGGGCTGGTCCTCAGCAGGCCCTTTGCCCACTTTGGTAATGGTGTTGGAGAACCTCTCCCTCGATCAAAGGGCAGTCTGATTTCTAGCAGAGACTCCAGCTGTTCCCTCACTTGAGGACCTCTGACCGCTATCATGTCTGATGTATGCTGTTGTCCTTTGTTGTGTGTATGTCGGGTATAGGAGGCTGCCTTCCCCACATGATGGCGAGATTCCCTGATACAGCTCTGAGGGTCTTCAGGTGTCAGTTCCAAGGTGCTAAAGTAATTACTGGATCCTGACACGTGTAGGTTCTCACACATTGGACAGGGAGGCCAGCAGCTATAGCGAGCATTCTTTAATCTCAGTGGCTTAGCACAGCAAAATTAGTATCTTTATTGTGCACACAAAGTCCACAGTGGGGATCTTCCTGTTCAGGTGGCCCTCCACTGAGACCAGGACTCTACTCCTCTGTCTTCTGCTGCCAATGCCTTCAACATGGAGCCTCAAGTGGTGTGAAAGAGGAAGAGTCCTCTTCCATCAAGTCTCCCCTCCCCCTATTACCCATCCTAGCACTGTCAAAAATAATGGCCATGTTGTACTCTCCCCTAGCCAGGCCGGGGTAGGGGGTCACAGTCATCAGCCCTGACCCCGACCTCTGCTCAAACTGTTGCCCCCACTCCACTTAATCAGCTTAGCCCCTGTCCTACAGGCAAACAGCCTCATGGAGCGGCACGCAGGTCAGGCAGCCCCATCTAGTGCCTGAGTGCTCATCCTATTACAATGGCAGCCCCCCATCTGCTCCTGGTGGCCTCACCTCCCTGTATTCATACCTTTAGATTAAGTGTGGGCAGAACCAATGACTTAAACCTAACCGATAGACTCAGGCAGAGCTAAGGATGTGTAACTAAAAGACCAGGTCACAAAAGGCTGGTGGTCTCTCTTTTGGGCTCCTTCTCTGGGAGAAGTCATGTCATTGGCAGCCCCATAGAAAGTTTCACATTGCAAGGAACAGAAGCCTCCTGTCATCAACTGCATGAGTGGGTGTGGACATGGACCTTCCAGCCTGTGTAGCTTTTAAAGACTGCAGCCCAGCCAATAGCCTGGCTGCCATTCCTAAGAACTTTGAACTAGAGCCACCAGCTCAGCCTCTCCCAGATTCCCAACCCTCAGGAACTGTGAGGTAGTGTTTGTTGGTTAAAGCAGCTAAGTTTGGAATGGTTTGTTATACATAGCAAAAGCTAACAAATGTAGCCACCTCCTAAGGCAGACGCATTCTCTTCCCTTTATTCTTGTTCCAGGTCCAGCATGGACTAGAGAGAGAAAGCTATTGTATAAGAAATGGTTTATTCAGCCAACTCCTTTACTGGGGAAACTGAGGCATAGCAGGTCCTTTGCAGTGGTGAGGACAGAAAGGATATGGTCTTGGCTCTCAGAAGTTCCCAACCCACTGGGAAACAGTGAGTCAATTCACTCATTCGTGACCATGACTTTTAACCCCCAAGCCAGCCCCAAAGGGGATACTAACTGATTCAGGGCAGAGGGTAGAATTTGAGGATGGGGAGAGGGGGAAAAGTTTTGCGAAGAAGGTGACCTCTGCGGGTAAGAGACACCGACCAGGTCAAGAGAAAGCGCTCAGCAAAGGAAGAGGATTGCTCGTGACACAGCAGGACCAGGAGCAGTGTGCACCCAGACAGTGCTGGAGCAGTGCGGGGCAGAGAGAGGGCCCAGGAGATGGGGCTGCCCAGGGCTAGGGCAAGATGGTAAAGGGCCGAGAACGCTGTGCTGAGCAGTTTAGGTATTGTCTCCAGGCACTTGAGACCATCCTTGGGCTTTGAGAGAGAGGACACAAGAAATGTTTGTGGCTTGGAATACAGGTGTGACCAGAGCAGGGGCACAGTGTCTTCCCACAGTGACTGCTCAGGGTGCTGAGTGCTCATGACAGAGGACGGGTAGGCCTGGGGAAGTCAGAGAAAAGCCTTGTCACCCAAAGACCTTAGGGAAGGCTCCTTGAATAAGAGAATCAGTTCTGACTGAGGAGGAGTCACTCAGACAAGGGAAGGTAAAAGGTGGGGGAAATGGTACTCCAGGGCCAAGGAAAAACACAGGCAAAAGCCTAGAGGGGAGGAGGGAACAAAACTGAAACAAAGGACTGCAGTTGGTCTCTATGACAGGGGCAGAGGGGTGAGGGAGAAAGAGACAAAGATGGAGGAAATGGGCCAGACAGTGGGGGGTGGCAAATGGAAGGCTAAGCAGCTTTGAGGTGGACCTCTTCTGTCTTTCCTGGACACCTCAGGACCATTCTCTGCCCAGCTCTGCCATGTTCTTTGTGCCAGGAGGTACCTACAGTCACAGACCTGCTTTCTTCAGGCAATGTGGACTGCACAGCGTGGAACATACACATTCTTGGCTTCTTCCTGCAGGGTCAGCTGAAGCCGCCTGTGCCCTGTACCAAGGACAGCCCATGGTAGGATTCTTTTCTGTGTCAGGTGCTGGCTGTCTCCACTTGGCCTTCTGTACCAAGGGCAGTGAAGCACAGCTGACACAGCCCTGGTTTATGGTGCCATTCTCAATGGCTTCCTGTGCCCCGCACACAGCTCAAGAAGCTGTTCCTTTATTACACCCTTCTCACATTATCCTCTGGATACTCCTGGGATTGGGACTCATACAACCCCTAGCCTAGCAGCAGAAAGACATGCAGCAGGGGAAGGACACAGGTAGATGCTTTTTAGGCAGCTCACCACGGCTGAGCATGGGAATGGAAAGGTGTACACATTGGCTATCTAATCACTGAGACACAATGCCTAACACAATTTAAAGGAGGTTTTGGTTCTGCTTGGTTTGGTTTGGTACCGGGAATCGAACTTGGGACCTTGCACTTTTGAGGCAGGCGGTGGAACCACTGAGCTAAATCCCTGGCCCTAAAGGAGAGGTTTAGTCCATGGTCAGCTGGCCCCAAGGCAGAGACATCATGGAAGAAGGGATGATTGAGTAAAGCTGATTAGTTCATGGTAGCCAAGAAGCAGAGTAAGGGAAGAGTGCCAGAGCAGAAGGGGCAAAGGATTAGATATAGACTCCAAGGCCATGCCTGCAAGATCTACCCAGTCACACAGAAGTGCTCCACCAATCCCCACAAGTGATCGCAAAGCCAATCAACTTGAAACTCTACCCTAACTGCCACACCCGAGGACAGAGATGGAGACAGAGCAGAGATGGGAGGCAGAGCTTGGGCCCTTGGGTTACACAGGCTTTACCATGACCACATAGGGAATTTTAGAGTATGTATATGTGCTGCCCCAGGCTTTTAGTTTTAAATTTCGGGTAGTTTGTAAAGTATCCACCAGAACCCTCCAAGCATTCCCACCCCTCTGTAAGAGGACATTGATGCTCCTCTGAGTCACAGGTGAAGTTGATTCCTCAACCCTGGCCTCGTGACTCACTGTGACCAACAGACCAAGGTGGAAGTGATGCTGTGGAAGTTGTGTGGCTGAGGACTTGAGTCCTTGAAGGTTTGGCTCTCATTCTGTTGGAATCTAGCCACCACTGAATGCTGAAAGGCCAGTCAGGATAGACAGGCCCAGGGTCCCCCGACATACAATGAGAGATCCTGCCCTGCCCAGCTGTCCCAGCCCCATTGACCCACTGGCCAAATGTAATTGCTCAAGAAAGACCTGAGATGAACCCTCCCCATCAGGGAACAGTGACAAGTAACTACCTTCCTTGTCTTCAGCCAGTCAGCTCGGAAGAGATGACAACATAGCAGTAGATAACTACCACGGGCCATTACTCATTTCCTTTGTCACCCTTGCCCTTCCTTCAAGGCCTGTCCATGGCTACTTCCTCCAAACTTGTCCTGGGCAGAGTCATTGCTCCCTTCTTCAAACTCTACTGCTTTCTTTCTCTTCCTCCTATGACCCTCATACCTCAGTGCCCAATAGCACAGTACCAGGGGCCTCCATGAGACATTGGGCACACATTTCACCAAGCTCCTAATTTACATACAATGTGCAGCATTCCATAAAGGACATGGAATGACTCAGTGACTCAGGAACTGTTCACAACACTTTGGGGGAGTATACTTATTTTTCAGATGACAAAATTGAGGTAATGTGACTTGCTTAGGGTCACTAAGCAAAGGCAAGATTTGAACCCCAATCAATGCTTCTCCAAGAGCCCCACTCCCATGTTGCAGGCACTGGAAAGATCTGCACACCACTACGGGGTGCTAATGGTTTCTGTCTAGATGTCCTCTGGGAGCCTCAGGCATTCATAGGTGGAGCTTTTGGAAAGTGACTGTATTGGGAGGTCTTACAGCTGACTTGCTCTTAGAAGGTGGGGTCTGCTTGGAAGAGGCAGGTCATTGGGAGTGTGGTCTGGAAGGGCTTATTTCCCTTCCTGGCTCTTCCCTTGCCTCTCTTTGCTTCCTGTCCATCATGCCACGAGCAGCTTCTCCACATCATGTCTCTGTGCCATGCTGACCTGTCTTAGAGCCAGCTGACTATAGACTGAAACTTCTACAGACTATGAGCAAAAACACTTTTCTGTGTTTAACTTGTGGGCATGAGGCATTTTGTCCCAGCAATGAAAAGCGATCCAGACAAAGGGAGGATAAGTTAAGCAGCCAGTCTCATCCTTCGGTACTTACACATGTTCCTACCTCGGGAATCCAGAACTCTTCTGGTCAGCGTCACTCACCTCATACACCCCTCGTGTCAGTTTCTTGTTCTCTGTAATGGCCTCCCTACAGCCAAATCTTAGGGTGATGGGTCAGGAAAAGAGATCAAATGATCTCCTTGGGCCAATCTGATCCAGCCTCAGGGAATGTGAAGCAGGGCCGCAGTGCCAGGCTGGAGGTCAAGGCCGAGGCTTCTGCCAGCCACCTTCTTGGGGTGGGTAAGAAAGAAGGGAACTAAAACTGAATCCTTTCATTCATTGAACCTGCATTTACAGAGCCTTCTAGTTGTGCCCAGGTCTGGGAATGAAGTTACCAAACATGAGTAAGAGGTGCCTTCACAGAGCTCTCAGCCTGTGTGATGTTAGAACTCAGATTTTCTGGAGTTCATCTCAGTCAGCTGGGTAAAATGAAGTGCAGAGGAAGGAGAACGGGGTCTGACCATGGTCACATCCCCTTCATAGCTCAGAGGACCCAGGGTAAGTGCAGGACTTATTGGCTGCCACCCTCACTTACCAGCCCCGGGAGGAACATTCAGGGCGCAGGATGACGGGGCATGAAGGGGAAAGGGGTGGCTGGCGGATTGATTTGAAGAAAAATGTCACTGTTCTATTTTTCCCCCCTTTTTGACTTTTGTAATTTTTGAGTGATATTACAACAGAGGGCAGAGGCCTCACAAATTGCCCTGTTTCAGCCTCTCTCACATTTCACAGAGGGCTTACACAGTCCTCTGACTTACACCATCTCCTTTTGCTACAAGAGTGCCAACCAGAGCTGGACGGTCTGGTCTCCTCCTCCAGGCTGACAGTTGTGGTTGGACTGGGAGGAGCTTGGGCCCCTCCTCCTGGGCTCCTGAATGCTGGCCCTGCCCTTTGACATAATCCTTCCTCTGGCTGGAAGAGCTCAGTGGAACTCCAAGTGTTGGTCAGCAGGAATGTTAAACTTGAGTTTATGGGCCTCAAAGAGGTTGCACAGCTCCTTGATGTAGCGCTGGTGTAACTGGTTCACCTCCTCCTCTGAAGGCTGCAGGTTCTTCTGTACCTCGATGGGCTTCCCCACTGCAAGGCACAGAGATGGGCAGGGGTGCAGAGTGGGAACCACAGGGGTCACAGGAGCCCTAGAGCAGGTCATTTTGCAGGAAAGTGCTCTTACTGCCATTCCTTCCAACCCTAATTTCAGGTGATGGATTCGGAGGTGTTGAGGCAACTCTAAGATCCTGATATGATACATCAACAGCTAGCTTTCATTGTGCCAGGCACAGTGCTTAATATTGTGCTCTGTACTGAAATCCTTTGAGAAAAAAACCTGTCACTAGTCCTATTTGATTGGTGAGGCAATGAGGGTCAGAGAAGTTAAGTGACTTGTTTCAGGTCACACAGCCGGGAAGAAATCCTGCAGATGTGCTCTTGGCCTCCAGGCTCTCTGATTCTGAGGTCCATGATTGGCAGTGTCTGTATTTCTAGGATGGGAGGCAGGGCTCACAGCCCAGATTAGCTCGTCTTCCCCCATTGCTCTGCACCCTGACCTGCAACCCCCTCACCATCATATGGGAAATGAGAAAGCCCTAATCTCCTCCCTATGCATCTGCCTGGCTGGGAAGGCAGCTCTCGGGCTTTCTTAGAAATACCTCTGAAGGCAGATGCAGAATTAAAATTCATAAAAGTATGGTCACATGATAGAGGGAAGGCCATGATGTAAGGGATTACAAAATCTCCGCTCAACTAACAAATAAATGGATGGATGGAGATTTTCTCTACAAACCTAGTTGGAATCCAAGAAGAAAGCAAAAAAGGAGTCCAAATAATGAAAAAGATGGTATCAAGTCTATGCATTAAAGCTCAGGTTCATTCGACACAGGAAGATCCCTGAGACTTTAATTCAGAGCCTGTTGATTGCCACTTTGTACACAATGATAACATACTTACAATGCCTTTCCCTGGCATCCACCTTCTCCAGATAAGCCTCCTTAGATCCACTGGCTCAGAATTAAATCTTCCTTCTCCGGCATAATAACAAGTCAAGGCTCGATTCAAACCTCAACTTTGATACTCAAAGGCAGTGTGACCTTTTGGAAGTTACATAACTTCTCTGAGCCTCAGTTTGCCATCCATGAAATAATGAATAATGATAAAACAATAACAATATTAATAATAACAGAATGATAACGAATGAAACAATAATTCCTGCTTCAATGGTTGTTAGAATAAACTGATCTGCTGCACATAAGACAGCTGGTATAGTGCCTGGCACATGGCAAGGGCTTAACAGTCAGTGGTGTTATTGGTTGTCCCATCTGTTATAGCTGTTATTCCAGACTTTCTTAGATTTATCTGCTCTGTGTGTGTGTGTGTGTGTGTGTGTGCGTGCATGCACACATGCTCACATGCACACACATGCTTTCCATTCTAGACTCTGAGCCCATTGAGGGTAGGGATGTATCTGGCCCGTCTCCATGTCCCCTTGCAGCTCAGAGCCCAAGACCTTGTCCCTGCTCCTTACACTTCCCTGACTTGGTCTCAGCTTACCTATGGTGGTGATGGGATGGCGGTAGGGCATCAAACCAAAGCTGTACTGGAAGATACCACGGCCATGGAAAAGTGGCAATGAGATGCCCATGATCTTCTGCAGCTGATTCTGGACACAGCGTAACCAGGAGCCAGAAACATTTTGAACCTGGTTAAACAGGTCATTCTCCCCAAAGGAGAAGATCGGCACCAGAGCTGCCCTGGGTGCAGGGGGAACAAGAGAGGGCATAAGCTGCAGGGTCACCAAGCTTCCTGCAGGGACTCAGTGACCAGGAATTGGAGCAGGGGACAGAACCCTGAGCCGGAAGCAGGAGACCTGGATTATCTCCCAGACCTGCCACAGCCCCTGTCTGAACCGGGGTGTCGCTTTCAGGCCTACAACTTCTCCTCGTTCACATTGTGACAGTAGTCCAGAGTGCTATAGAGAGTCCCCTCAGGGATGAAACACCTGAATTTTTCTCCTAGAAAAATCTCTCGTCCTAGCTGGCTCACGTTTCTCAAAGATGCTTCACTCGAAAGTGAGAGAACATCTCTGCCATATGTTCTCAACCCCATTTTTCCAGATCCTGTGTAGTCTCAACTCTTGGGCCAGTTTGGGGGAATATGTTCACTCCCAGCAAGTACCATTGATTGCTAATCTCCCTTACTAAAATTGTGCTAGGTTTTTGGACATAAAACATCAAAATATAATCTTCTTTGCAAATGGACCGAGAATCTCCCTAGCTACAGTAGAATCTGTATTAGTCTTTGCTATTTTCCTTCCAAAATGTAATCCTTGCCAACTTCCAACTGAACCCAGAGTGATGTCCCCAGAGTTCCGTACCCATGGATCAGGGCGAGCCTGACAAAGCCCTTGCGGTTCTGCAGTAGCAGTGTGTAGGCTCCAGGCCTGGCATCCAGTGCCTCCTGGGCTCCCCCGACAATGATGGCCAGCAGGTTCCCATTACCCTTCTTGCTTAGAATGTGGACAGCGCTCTCCTTGTCTGCTGCGACCAGCCCTGGGGGGAGAAGAATGTGAGGTGAGGGAGCAAGGCTGAGAGAGCAGCTGTGGCCCAAGAAGGAGATCACCAGTAGGGTAATAGAGGCCTTCAGTTCTTCATGGCATCCCAGTTCAGGCGAGAGTCCTGAGCCCTCCAATCCCCTCACTGGGCTCAGTGCCCAGCATAACACTGCAGGGAGCTCTCCTTTGGCATTACCCTCCTTCTATATATTCTTTTGGAAGAACTACAGAACTGTTGGCAGCACCCTACCTGCACCACCTGCCCCATCTTCCTGAACTTCTCTGGGTGGGGAGACTCACCTGAGCACATGATGTAATCCCGGAAGAAGGGTACTCGGAACCACAAGTTCAGCATCATCAGATGGGGGTGGATGCCGGGGAAGAGTGAAGAGAAGCCTGTGCTCTCAGTACACAGACTGAGGAAGGCTCCAGCTGCCAGGACCCCATGGGGGTGGAAGCCCGCAATGTAGTTCCGGGAGGGGTCCAGGTCAGCAGTCTTGACCAGCTGCAGGGACAACATTCTGGTGAACCAGGACAGGGTCTGTACGCCAATCCTGACTGCCACTCACGGCCACCTGGCAGGCTCTCCCCTCTGAGCCTCGGGGTCTTCATCTTTCTGTCCAACCACCCTGAGTTCTTACAAAGGTAGTGATACCATGGTGCTAGCTGTCCCACAGACTTGATCCTGACTTTGGGCCAACTGTTTCCCTCTCAGACTTCTCATCTATGAAATGGGAACATTTGCTCCTTTCCCTGTTCTCTGCCAGAGAAGCCTGGAATTACTGAGACTACCAGTTATCAGGACGGAGAGTTACCTGTGAGAGTTACCATGCAGGAAGAGCCCCATTTTCACAGCATTCAATGTAAGAAAGAGTGGCCCTTCAGACTTGGGCATGAGCGCTGACAAGCTGTCATGTGCAGATTCTGGCACAATTACTATCCTGTTCACCTGGGGTCTCGCTCTGTGGCCCTGTTCTCTCTTTCCACTTGCTCTGGCTTGGTCTGCCCTACGGCATGGAGGTTGGAGTGCTGTCCGCAAGGCACTGTAGATGGAAAGGGAGACAGCGCTTGTCGTTAGCAGCTTCAAAGTGAAGTGGAGCGAGGATGAAGCAGGCAGGAACTGAGCTAACGAATGCTGCTTGCACAGGCTGTGTGATGTAGCTCAGTCTGCAACAACTCTTGCTGGAGACCATGATATTATATGCACAAGTCCCTCCCCCAGTGCACCAGGAACCATAAGCTTCATCGTTTCAGTGCTCTGCACTCTGGGAGCCATGGTCATCCCAGCAGAGAGGGGTTCTAGGGTCCCTGGCCTCAGCCCCAATTCCCGGGAAGCCAGCTCACTGACAGGACTGCCAGGGCCTGTAATTTGTACTCCCTTAGGCCCAGAGACAGCCACTCAGGCTCAGCCTTGCCAAGGTGAAAGTTCTTCCTGTCACCAAACTGAAACATTTACTTGGTGACTCCCTGAGGATTCGTGTGGCTACCTTTGGGGTCCCAGAGACCTGCTGGCTTGCTCTAAAAAGCATGCTGCAGGAAGTAATGGGGCCATGAGCCTGTTTGCCCCATCCAGACTGCACAACTCCATGTTTTCCTGTCCTGGACCTGACCTCTGCAAATCCTCACCATCCCACCACGGTCATGTCCTCAGGTTACCATTGACTCCTTGCTGGAGGACTGTAGGGACCATCGCCTGCCCAGACAAGGACAAATGCCTTTTCCTCATGCAGCGAGGGCCTTATTAGATATGGAAATACAGAGATCTCTGTTTCTCCCCCCTGGGAAAGGTACTTGCACAGAAACTCAGGAGATGCTGAAAAACATATCTTGGTCAATGCACCAAAATACTTGAATATAAATTTCCATTCTCTGCTAGTGAGAGGGAAGTTTGTACCTCCATAAAGATAATTATATATGTAGCTCAAAAAATAAAAACATTGTTTTAGTCCAGTAATTCCATTGCTGAGGAATTTAGCCTACAGAATTTCTCATACTTGTACAAAATGACATCTGAACACTGTCATTAACAGAAGCACCATCTTTTGGTGACATGAAAACCTTATCACTCACTTGACTGTCCCTTAACAGGGCCTGTCTAGACAAACTGGGAAACGTGCACAAAGCAAGCCATTACAGCCGTGGGGTGATGGTGATGGAGCACCTTGTCCTGTCCTCGGGAGGAAAGACAGCCTCTCGGCTTGTTAAGTGAAAAAGCAAGGGGTGGACAGTGTGTGTGGACTGTCACAACAGAGAGCAAGGGGAAAGCGCATTTGCTTGCATGTGGATTCATCAAACACTGGTAGCCAGAGTTGCCTCTAAGAACCGGGGAGATAGATGTAAAATAGGATAGAACTTTTCATACCTACCGTCTTGTCCTTTTTTGATTTCCAGCAATAGTGCATTACTACTTTAAATAAACAAGAGAACAAATGAATGAATGAATGGACAGTGTTCCCTTAATAAAGAAAGCATTTGTGTGTATAGAAATCCACTGGTGAGTAGGAGAACCTGTGTCTCAGCAAGGGGCCTGTATTGGGTCATGTATCTACATGTATGTGTATCTACAGGCTCAAGTCCAAGTGTGTGCATTGTGTGTGCCTTCCCAGACTTGGTCTTTACAGGTATCTTTGTTACTACCCTTTTCCATCTGTCTTCCACTCCCAAGTCTATCATGCCACGACTGTGAAAATAAAAACCATGAGTCCAGTGTGTCTGAGTCTCCCATGCAGACCTGGGACAGAGGATATGCACTGGACAAGCAGGAAAGGAGAAAGGGAACACCAAAGAGTAGGCTCACGCTGCCCACCTCAGAGGAAGGCCTGTGGCTTCGATCTTGCCCTGCCATGTCACCTGGGCTCCACTGGCAGGAGAAAGAACCTGGGCTGGGAGTCAGGAGACCCAGACGTGCCACTGGCTCATCACAGGAACTTGGCCTGGCCTTACCCCTGTCTGAGCCTCAGTTGTCCCTCTGTTCTGCAGGACAATGATAATGACTCCCTTGTAGGCTTGCTACAGGGCTCAGATGGGTAAATAAAGAGGAGGGGAGCTGATGAGGGATGTGGTACATGCTTTGCTCCTCTGCACCTGAGGCCGAAGTAGGGAACAGCCAGATTGAAAGGCTTGAGGGGACTGCTGTTTTTAAAATTGATATCACATAGGGGCTGGTATTTAAGGTCCCGAGTTCAATCCCCAGTACCGAAATATATACATATACATATATTTTTTAAAAGTGTACAGTTCAGTCCATTTTTAAAAGACTGGCTTTTTGTGGATCTAACATGGTGGAGCTGACAGTGGAGGTTCAAAGCTCCAAAGGGGCTTTCTACAAGGTATTTATCAAAGATGTTCATGAAGACTCTCTCATGGTTGCTTCTAAAAGTAATTGGCAAACAATGCCAGGTTCCATTTAGTGAAGTTACAGCACCACCACCACCTGACGTTAGAAATGAAATTAGTGTGGGCTGGGGATTTGGCTCGGTGGTGCTGCCACCTGCCTCACAAGTGCAAGGTCCCAAGTTCGATCCCTGGTACCATAAAAAAGGAAGAAAAAATAAAAAGAAATTAGTGAAGATGAAGTAGAGGTATATTCCACAGGAAATGTCCAAGAAGCACGTGGATGATGGTTGGCTAAAGTTCAGTTGATGAAAGGAGAATTTTCTGTCATTGAATATGCAGCTTGAGATGCCACTTACAATGAAATAGTCACACCTGAACAACTTCAGCCTGTCAATTAAAAAAAAAAACTGTCAAAAAATACCTTCTTTGAATGCACAGTATTTCTGAGAGTTTGAGGTGTGTGCTAATGAAAATGCACATAAAGATTTTAAGAAAGCAGAATATTTTACCAGCCAGAAACCACACAGCTAATGAGACTGTCTGCTAGTGAGTCAACTATGAAGAGAGTAAATATTTTAAGTGACATGCATTTTCAAAGTATTCGTACAAGGTTGACGCTTATGTCCAGAAAGGAAGAGGCCACTGAGCATTTAGAATGCACATGATGTGCAGCAGCTTTTCATGAGGAATTGGTTGAGAGAAGATGCAATGGCCTGGCAATAGGAACACACGGTGGAAACATACAGCAAGCTAGAAAGGTCCCTGGAATTACTGCCTCTGAGCTAGAAGAATGCCACTGGCCCATTTAGAATATATGGAGAGAGAGCTGACCCTCTGAAACAGGCTAGCGGTTTCTTAGAAGTTGTGGAGGATTTTACTCAGGTTCCTAGGTATCCTGTTGGGAAAGCAGTTGGGAAAAATAGCAAAGTTATTCAAGAAATAGTGGACAAATTGGGTGTCGTTCAGGTGAGAACTAAAGAAGGCAATAAAAATAAGCCACCCAGAGGAGAGGGGAGGGTTCCCCTTGTCTTTGCTGGCACTAAAGGAAGCACTGGAAATGTGCAAGTTATTTTAGAATATCATATTGTTTATCTAAAGGAAGTGGAACAGCTAAGAATGGAATGCCTACAGATCAGTTCTAGGTCTCATAGTGAAAGAAGCAGAGGTTGTCAGAGCCCTGATTATACCTCCGGTTTTGGTACAAAGTCTGAGCTGTCTAACCCCTCTGAAACAGAATCTGAATTTAAAGACGAGCTGAGACAGGAGAAGATCAAGAGGGGCAACATCAGTGTGACAGCAGGAGGCGCCCAGGAGGCAGAGGCAGAAGTGTTTCAGGGCATCAGGGTCACAACGGACCATGTGGTGGCAAATCCTCCAGCAGTTCTGGTAATCTTTTACATACTATGTCAGCACCCATTTTTGTAAAGAGTTTAACTGCAAGAAAGTTGTTTATCTCTGCAGGGCAACCATATTTGGAAGCTTCTGTTTCCACACAGCTGTCTTTAGAGAGTAGCGAACCATATATAGCGATCAAAGTAGTAAAAGCCTTGAAGAGTGTTTTTCATTGAAGGTTCACTTAAAATTTTTCATGTCAGGACCTGGGGCAGGGGCTGCTTTTCTTAGTGAAGTGGTGGTGAACAAATGGCACACGTGCTGCAGAGAGCTGTTTGTATAACTGAAAGCTCTACAAGGTTCGCCACCACCGCCTTAGGGTCAGATGTTTACCCTTTCAGTTTGGGACAGCTTATATAATTGTAATTTTTTCCCTTAGAATGTTTGGGTTTAAATATGCCTCTTTACTAGCCAGACTCAGAGAATTCTAATGCCCAGAGAGATCTAAGTAAAAGACTGTGCAACCATTACCACTAATTCCATAGCATTTTCAACACCCCAGAAAGAAACTCAAATCTATTATGGAAGTCATTTTCTCCCTCCCCAAACCCTGGCAACTGCAAATCTACTCTCTATCTCTGAATTTGCCTATTCTATTTGGTTGGTTGGTTGGTTGGTTTTTTGGAGACAGGGTCTCACTATGTAGTTGAGATTGACCTGGAACTCACTATGTGGTTCAGGCTGGTCTCGAACTCACAGCAGTCCTCCTGCCTCAGCCTCCTGAGTGCTGGGATTATAGGTATGCATCATCATTCCTGGCCTGAATTTGCCTATTCTGGACATCTCTAAAAATGGAATCATTCAACATGTGGCCTTTGTGTCTGGCTTTTTTCACTCAATATTTTTTGAGGCCAATCTATATTGTAGCATGTATCATATCTTCATTCAATTTTGTGACGAATACTCCATTGTACACATAGACCACATTGTGCCTGTCTATTCATCAGTTGTGGATATTTGCAGCCATGAACACTTGTGTCCTGTCTTCATGTGAGCACGTCTTTAGATCTTCCAGAGGGAGGTGCCAGGATGTTGCTTTTTAACCTCCTCCTTGCCTGCTCAAACTACAGCCCTGCACTGGGCTCTGCCTTCCCTGCCCAGCCCCATCTCTCCACAGATGCCCTGTGCTCTCTCACACAGTGAGGGTGACCCGAGCCTGCTGCATTGATGTCTCTCTCAGGATGTAGAGCACCCATACTGTTGGCTTGTCTAACACTCACTGTGGCCCCAGGGAGCTGAGCTGTAGTGTTAGCCCCACTTCCTAGCTGAACAGACTGGGATACAAAGGAGTTAAACACACAGGAGACTGAGTTAAACACACAGGAGACTGGGGTCTGAGTTCTGTGGTCCCTGGCCAAGAACAGAAAAAGCACAAGAGCCAGAAGCCTTTGCTCCAGACTGAGGAGACAACCTGGGCCTCGGCCCTAGGTTTGGAACTTTCTAGTGAGACTTGCGAGGTCCAAGGCTCCAGGCCTCTTCCCTGGGAGAAGGTGGTTTCTATATCTGTAGCCACCTCTCACTGCCGCAGGGCCTGTTATGCACCTAGATTACTTGGCAAGTTTAAAATGCCCAGCAAGCAGCCTCTGACTCAGTAGGTCTAGTGCTGGCCTTGGGCATGCGTATGGGTGCCTGAGTGCATAAGCAGGGTCTGGGGTTCTTCCCTGTCTCCTCCCAGCGTGACAAGATGGTTGGATGAAAACGCTTCCATCTCCTCCCTGACCCTGGCAGTAGCCTCCTTGTGGGTAATGGATCACAATTCAGCCTCCCTTGCTTCTCAGCAAAGTTCTCAGCCCTGCCCATCCTGTCACCTTGCCACAGCCATGCAGTCGTTTAACAAATACCTATTGACACCTATAAACACTTTCCCCCAGTCTTCAGCTGCACCTATTCCCCAGTCCTAAACATTTTGAAATCAAGCTGCGTCTTGCAATCCTCATTAGTTTTTTGTTTTGTTTTGTTTTGTTTTTTTCTCAATGGTACCTAACATATCGTTATCTACAACTGAGGATATTACAGAGTTGAAGAAATACAGCCTGTACCAGATCCTGAGCACTGGAAAGAGTGTGCAGGGTGGGAGGCATTATCAGTGCCTACTCTGTGCCAGGCACCTTGCCTACACCAGCGTGCTTCCCCCGACGGCCCTGGGAGGGAAGTATGGTGTCACTGCCTAGGTCACAGACGAGGAAACTGAGACACAGGCCGTTTCTCCAGATCACACAGCTGGTGAAGAGGCAGAGGTAGGACAGAAACCCAGTGCCCAGGCTCCATGTTTACCAGCAGGTTCTGCTCCCTGTGGGCATCCCTGCAGGCAGGGACGGGGGCATTATGTAGCAGGCACTAGTACAACGTGGCTCATGACTGGAGAACTGGAATGGAGAAAGGGAAGAAGGGAGGGCCCAGGGTGCTGGGACTTGCAGACTACAACAAAAAGTAGGTTCTGTTCAAAGGAAGACTGCGGGAGTATTGGAAGATGTGGAGCCCAGGAAAAGAAATGACTAGAGTCAGGGCTCAGGGTACAGGAGAGGATGAGTTAGTCAGAAAGGGAAGTTTAGGACGCAGACCCTAGGCTCTAGAGCACTGGTTGTCAGTTATGGCAAGTTTGTCACCTCCTGTCCCCTTGATGGGGACATCTGGTAATATCTGCAGGTAATTTGGTTGCCACAGCTGGGAGAAGATAGTGCTGCTGGCATATAGTGAACAGACACTAGGGTTGAGGACAGTCCCCACAACAAAGAATTATCCAGTTCCAAATGCCAGTGGTGCCAAGGCTGAGAGAGCCTCCAGGAAGAAGGTTGGAAGGGCACGGGTGGGCAGGTGGGTGGAGTGATGTCCTGCACTGCCCCATGTCTGCCTGTGACAGTGACCAGCATGTCGAGCACAGCATTTCCTGACCCTTGGTCATAGGCCTGGTCACAGATCTCGGTCCCCCACCCCCAAGGCCTTGGCCTGTGTAGACAGTGTTTGCTCTAGATGATGAAACTTTCCAACTAGGTAAACCCAGCTCCTGGGCCATCTTCGGCCTGCAGTAGGAACAGCTCCCCCTACTCAAGGCCTGGCCTGACACCACCATTAGCTCTTTGGGAAGCTGACACGGTGACTCCAGGTAACAGTTTCCTAATTGGGCTTGAAGTTCCACCACTAGAAGCTAGTTCATAAAGTCCCAGTGAGACCTGAGGAAAAGCTCAGAAATTATTATGGGAGGGCCACATGCAAGTGACCGGGATCGCAGGGGCTGTGAGTGTGGGGAGCTCAGCAGAGCTGGGGCCAACAACCTTCTGCTTAGCCCAAAGGCACTGCAGGGGCTGTGCTGTAAAGGTGTGCAGATGGGAGGGAGAGTGTCCTGGTGTCTTGGGAGGTCTGTGGCAAGGAAGTCTGCAGGCCACTGCTCATACCTGCAGGCTCCAGGCTCAGTAGAGGGCAAAGCCGCAGTGAACAGCCACTGGTCCTCTGCTGGCCATGTGTTGGTACTGCTCATGCTTGGCAGAGATGTTGCCAAGGGTGCGGGACAGGCCTGAAACTCTGTGCACAGGGTTTCTGCAGAAGAAGTCCAACAGTCCCTACAGTATCAACAGTGGGGAGGTGGAGAAGCTTCCTCAAGGACCATCTGGCTGGGGAAGGCACAGAACGTGCAAAGCCACCACCTCAGCATCCCTTCTGCCAGCCCTGCAGCTAGAAATGCCCAGTTGTAGAATCGGCAGGTAGTAAGCCTACACTTTTCCAGGGGAACTCTGACGATCCTGGCACAGAATGGGGAGACCTGGGCTGGAGGAATGAGAAGCAGGGGAGAGAGTTCAGAATCTCAAAGCTCAGAGGTCCAAGGGTGGGGACAGGGGACTCTCCCCGTGACACACCCCTGGCTGCTCTTGGGACCCAGCAAGCCCTGACTTTTCTTTGCTGAAAAGATCCCAGGAAGGGGCCCTGCAGAGGAAGCACAGTGAGGGGCAGCATGGGGCAAACTGCTCCCAACCTGAGACTCCCAAGCTTGCCCATGTGTTCCTCCCTTTGACCCCAGGACCCCTCATGAACCCGGCAATCTAAGCCAGCCCACTCCCTTGCCCTGCCCCTCCCACTTGGCCTTTGCCCCAGGCCCTACTCATTGGGGTGCTAGGGGCTACAATTGGCACTCAGGTCTTGCTAACCCTTGTGAGGACCTATGTCAAGAGCCATTCTACATAAATTTTGGGGGAAAATTATTTTATAATTAAAGTATGACTATAGCTGTCTAAGATCCAATGTCCCCTTCCCCACTAGCTGGGTATAGCATGCAGAAACATAACTCCATTCTGCCTCTGGTCACAAGTTGAGGCCCCAATGGTCCCATGATACTGTGACACTCAAGGACAAGTGTACTTCAGCTGAAGACATCCTGGTTCTTTGAGAATGGAGTAGTAATAAAAAAAGAGAAAGGTTTCACCTGAGGGAAGGACACGTTTTATTAGTCTGCTGTCTTGGCCCATCTACTATTATAAGAATGCTCTCCTCGCCACCCTCATCAGGATAAGATCCTCATCAACCTAGGATTATCACCGTCCCCTGCAAGTCACCTGATACTCCCCCCAATTATTGTGTGTACCCAATAAATGGTGGCTAGCTTGGAGTGTCTTTGCCTACTTTGAGGTCTCCTCCCTTCCTCGTACTTGGAAATTGTACAAATCTCTATTGTCTTTTTTGCTTGGTCCTCCCCTCTAGGCAGAGGATTGCTCACCCTCCGATAGGCCCAAGACTCTCAGTAGGAAGCAAGGCAACATCCCTGACTTTGATGCCAAGTGCCGATGACTCAGGCAGTTGCCTAACCTCTGTGAACCCATTTCCTCCACCCTGTCCCCAGCTGGGGACCTAATTCCTGGGGAGGCAGGAAGAGATGCAGTTCCTACAGGTTGAGAGAAGCCAGACAGAGGTGAAGGTCAGAGCAGCAGGCTCGAGGTCCCCAGAGTCCCCTCAAACCATAGCCATGCCCAGGGCTCCTCAGAGTTCAACTGACTCAGTGAAATAATACTCTATCAGTTTCCCGAGGAATGACAAGTTCGTTGCCTTTTTTGTCTCAACGAATAAATGCTACCCAGGAAGGTGTGTGGCATCATCATCCTTTTACACTTGACAAAACAGGCTCAGACAGACCGTATAGTGCACCCAAAGTCACACGGCTGCTATGTGGCAGACCTGAGATCGGAGTCTGGTGTGACTGGTTCAGAGGCCACATCTCACACTTTTCTTTCTTCTCTCCTGTTTCCAGATGTGGGCCAGATGCTCCTCATGATAGGAGTGTAATTGTGGGCTAAATGGTTGCTTAAGACCTGCAGTTTATTACCTTTACTCCAAAGCTGGGCCGCTGATAGGTTTGAACCTTTAAATCCCATGAGTGGGACACTATGCACCGCACAGAGCTCATTCAAATCCTCTCACTGGCCCCACATTCCTGTAGTTGGGAAGCCAGAGACAAGCTGGACCCTACCCCTAGCCCCATGAAGCCCAGGGCTCCTGCTTCCCAGCCTAGTGCTCTGCTCACTGAACCACATGTCCCTCAGAGATGTGGAGTTCTGGGGCCCTAACCCCACTGCGGCCAGTCTCTCACCCCACCCTAAAGTAGCCCAGTGCTCACCGAGGCTGGGAAATAGTCCTTCATGTACCTCCATGCAGCCCAGTGCCTGAAGGCCTCTACGCGCCTGCCACCCTGCCATGGCTTGTCTCGATCCAGGAACCACCAGGTGGCATACAGGACAGCCAAGAGCCAGAACCTGGTAAACAGGAGGAATATGAAGACCCCGGTGCAGATCTGGCCTGGGGAGGGAAGCAGAGTATCAGAGAACCCAGGTCAGTGGGGAAGGCAGTGACACTGCCCAGACCAGAATGTTGCCATGAGGCCCACACTGGTAGCACCATCCTGTCCGGCCCTCGAGCCCAGGAAGACCAGCTTTCTTCCTACGCCTCCTCCACAAAGGAGATGGGGTGCCAGCACAGCGTCACCCTGGAACATGGGTTGAGCCCTTCCAAAATCGTGTTCCCCACTGCACCTGACTGCCTGACTCACACCCACACCCTCCCTGCCCCTCTCCTGGTCAGGTGGTCTGCACGCACCCAGGGCTCAGTACTGGGGGAGCACTGATGGAACTGGCTTTTCTAGTTCCCAGCTTTGGGGACTCAGAGAAAGGAGACCCCTTCCTGCCCACCCCTTGCCTCATCCCACTAAAGATAAGTCCGGCTGGGTCCCCTCCATGGTTTCCCCAAGACATCACGGCACAGCCCAATAGCTCAGGTGGCATCAGACTCCCCATGGCTAGCCCTGTCCCCTCCTGCTTTTGCTCCCCTCTCCCCATCCACACTCAAAGCTCTGGCCACACACAAGTGTTCAGAACCCTTAACCACTGAACTCCAGTGTCTTTGCCTCTGATGCCTTTTGCTGGTGAAGGAAGGAGGCCAGCAGAGGTCAGCCCCTGGCCGGCCTGAAGGTGCAGCAGGCCCAGGCCAAGCATGGAATTCTCTGACTCTTGCTGCAAGAGAATCCTGTTATATTTCAGGGTCAAGTGGTGTGTGGGGCCATCCATCATCTGATACCAATGGAGTATTATTCCCAGAGAATACCACTCTCCCCACATCATTCACTCTACTCATTTTTCCAATTCACTTTTTCACCTGCAGTGCTGGGAATTGAACCCAGGGCCCTTTGCATGCTAGGTGAGCACTTCATCACTGAGCCACACCCCCATACCCTGCACACATGTTCTTAAAGGCCAGCTTCTGGTTGTACAGTCCACTTGCAAGTAGGGAGGACTGGGCTTTACAACCTTCCTGGAAGAGGTGACTTCTGACCCAGTTGAATGGTAGTACAGGCTCAGAAGCCAGCAGATGTACATTGCGGCCCACAAGTATTCACTTGGCAGGGAGCATCTACAAGATACCAGGTGATGGTGGTCTGGTGTGTGCCAGTGCGAAGCCAAATTTCCAGCATTGTGTTTGGGACATTCAGTTTTTGTTTTGTTTTAAAGGTTTTTATTCTGGTAAGATATTTGTGAAATAAAGTTAACAGCATGACCATTTAATACACAGCTCAGTGACATTAAGTACATTCATTCTTTGTGCAACCATCACCACCATCGACCACCAGAACACTTTTAGTTACTCCAAAGAGAAACTCTTTACTCACTGAATAGTAACTCTTCATTACCCTCTTCCTCCTACCTCTGGGGACCACCATTCTATTCTATTCTCTCTGTGACTACCCTTGTTTCCTCCTATGAGTAGGATCATGCAGTCTTTTTTTTTTTGGAGCGGGGGTTTGAGACAGGGTCTTGCTATATAGTTCAGGATGGCCTTGAACCGGCAGCAATCCTCCTGCCTCAGCCTCCAAGTGCTGGTATTACAGGTGTGCGCCACCACACCTGGCAGCATTTATCCTTTTAGACTGACTTACTTCTCTCAGAATATTTTCAGTTCATCCTTGCAGCACGTGTTACAACTTCCTTTAATAATATTCCATGATATACCTCTATCGCACATTCTGTTTATCCATTTATCCCCTGATGGACATTTTGGTTGCTTTTACATTTGCCCTTGTTTGCAAATATCACTGAATTTTTTACTAGTGAAAAATAGGGAGGCTTCCCTTACCAAACCAGATTTGGCTCTCTCTTGAGACACAGGAAGAAATGGCAGTTGGGAGTCTGCATTCTCAGGACAGCCGCTCCCTCCACACACCCCAGCCCTCATTCCAGCCTGCTACTCTGGTCCTGCCTTAACTCAGCTCTATCCTCACAGGGGCCTGGTTTTCTCCAGGTGGGCGGGGGTGCAGGGAGGAGCCAAAACAGCTCCTGTGTTGCTTAGGTTTAGAATAGTGGCACTGAAATGCTGTTGTGTACAAGAAACAGGGCATCACACACACAGGGGAGAAAAGGACTCGTGTAGATCTGGAGGAGACAGAATGCCAGGGAGCAAGGATGGAGAGGAGAGTGACTTAACTTTTGTTCATTTTTTATATTAAAAATATTTAATGCAAAAATATATTTAGTGTAAAAAATAAAAGTAATAACCCAACTAGGCCTCTCTCCCCTTGGGTAAAACCAAAAGTCTGTGTAGGTAGTTCCCAATTGAAGAAAACCAGCTCCAGAGTAAAAACTTGTTAATAGTGGCTCCCTGGGAGGTGAGGCTATGGGAAGCCTTACTTTAAGGGCACACACTGTGTTTGAATGTGTTAGAGTATATGTTACCTCTGCAGTAGGGAAAAAAGGTTAGGAAAAAACAGAGGGCATATACTCTTGACCAGAAAGACCCCCACAGGCCACTATCCCCACCTCCACCTGACCCTGGGCTCACCTTCGCTGCTGCTGGCAGGAGGGCCTGTGAGTGGTGTTCTCAGTAGTTTAGGAAAGGAGACACTTTCACGTGATTAGGCGACCTTCTTTTACATAAAGGCCTGAGGGGGAAATAGTTAAACCTCGGATTTCTGGAGGCCCAGAGAAGGTGTGTAAATGTTTGGCTAAGACCACACAGCAAGCCTCTTCTCCCCACATTCCCAAGTCTTCTCCTAAGTGCCGGAGTTTGGTGAGGACAGCCTGCCAAGCACGGATGACACCTGGGTATCACCTCCATCTTCCTCTCCATCCACACCTATTGTTAGTGCCCAAGGAGTCCCAGCTCCTCAACATCTTTTTGTTGTTGCTGTTGAACCTGGGATTGAATTCCGGGCCTCGCGCTTGCAAGGTGGCGGAACCACTGAGCTAAATCCCCAGCCCCACTAAGCATCTTTTGGATTGGGATCCCTTTCACTCTCTGCCAGCCCTTTTTAAGCCAGGGGCTTTTCTTAAAGGTCCAGGTAGCAAACATTTTAGACTTTGCAGCTCAAATTGAAGGATATCGTGTAGGTAGATACTGAGTAGCCATTTAAAATAAAACTTTTTGAAGAACATAAAAAACATTCTTACACTTGGACTATACAAAAACAGTGACCCATGGGTCCTAACTTGGTGACCAGTGATATAGATAGTGATTGCTTCTGCCTTTTTCAGTTTCCCCACATGCCAAACACAGCAGACACCTGTGCTGTAGGCACAATTTGAACCCTGTCACTAAGGAAGCCTACGTGAGCTTCCCCTTTGGCCTGGGGACAAGGAACAAAGGAAGCTCTACTCAGCACAAAGCCCAGAGTACTTTCCTCAGCTGCCCTCCAATCTCGTTTGGTTTCTGGGTTCTGCTCCTGACCTTCCCAGCATCCTCTAATAATGGCACCAGGCTGGTGCCACAGGCCTGCACGGTTGGGGTGGGCACTCAGACATGCTCCTGTCCTCCAAAGTCACAGGAGGCAGGTTATGCACGATGTCCCTGGTGATCCCTTGGTCACAACCCACCTGGCTGTGAACCCCATTGCCCTCTGACCTGAATAGGCTTAGGCCTCTCTCTCTGCCTCCAAAGCTTTTCCTCCTCTGGCTGGAGCAGAAGCCCAGGACTCTAACCCGAAGCCTGGGGCTTTAGGCATTCATCTCCGCTCATCTGCAACATGAGGATAAATTACCCATATTTAAAATGGTTCGCACCCTTAGGATGGAGATGCAAGTCAATTAGATCAGTTAAGAGAGATAGTAGGGGCAGAGTCCTAGAGGGCCTGCTCTGAGGAAATGAATCCTTCAGCTGTAAAATTTTGAAGAAGTTCTGTGTGTGTGTGTGTGTGTGTGTGTGTGTGTGTGTGTAACGGCTATTGACCAATGTGTGCACAATATGTGAACATCTTAACAACCAGGCTGGTAGTATTTGTGCAAACACTGATCCCCAGTCCTGAGGGCAGCAGTTTCTCTGAGGGCAGCAGAGGAAAGGAAGATTCCCCCAACTCCCAGTCACTCGTTCCCAATTCACAGTCCCAAACTCTCCTTGAAAATGTCCCTTCAGAAGTGGGGTGAGGAGGGACCTGTCACAACCTCCTGTGGGAGGCCAGCCCAGGGATATACCAGATCTGTGCTGGGCAGAACCAGCGTCTTTCCTCAGCTCATCTGCAATGGCCCAGAGGCAGCATTGTTACCCATTCTGCAGATGAGGAAGCAGAGGCCTGGAGAGTCTGTTCCCTGACCCCTGCCCCATGCCCATCTTACCAGCGTCTGAAAGGAAAAAGAAAACACATCTTCTCCCAGCAGCAAGAGGAGTAGTTCCCAGCGTCACCCAGAGGCTCTTCTCACCCTCACCCAGCCTGTAGCAGGGTCTCCTCCCAGGCCAAGGAGGAGCTGGCAGCACAGTTAAGGAAAGCATGAACCTGCCCAAAGCCACAGGTGATCCTACCCACCCTCACAGGTTTCCGGCAGACCCAAGACGTCTCTGTGGACTGGGACTCTCAGCACAACAAAACCTCTTGGGTCTTGCCAATGTGCCACTGTGCGAGCTTCACCTGTGGCTGCTCTGCCCACCCAGAAGCCCGTGGGTCAAGTCTTACCCGGCCAGCCTTACCTAGGGCCAAGAAGGAGAAGACCCACTGTAGGACTGCGAAAGTCTGCAGCCTGCGCTCCCAAGGCACCGACAGAGGGGCAAACTCCACCATGCTGTCCTGGCTCTCAGGCTGGGCCTCTGAGCTCAGTTGAGCTGCAGGCTTCCTGAGCCTGTTAGGGAGAGGGCGGTACCCAGCCCAGCCCAGCTCGGTGCAGCCCAAGGGCAACACCTCCCTGCCCCGCCCAGGTGGGGCCTTGTTTCCTAGAAGAAACCTTTGAGTCCCTCAGCTGGGGCCTGGCTGAAAAAAAGGAGAACAAGAAGGAACCTTCCAGCACTTATCAGCCCTTTGGTAATGCCTTATCTTCAAGGCCACCTTGCCAGGACTACTTGACTTGCTCTTCCTACCTTCTGGCAGGTGAAGCTCCAGGTATGATGTAGTCCCTTCTACTCAGTTACCTGGCTCCAGCTCTTGCCCCCGCTCCTGTGACCACTGCTCCCCTCCACAAATATACTGTAATAGCTCCCATCTAGAAATCCTCAACTCTACCATCTCCTCCCCATCCTGCCCACTTCTCTGTTCCTTGTACAGCAAAACTCTTAGAAGAGCTTTCTGTGCTCATGCTTTTCCAAGCTCACCTCCCACCTGTCCTCTCCTACTCCACATTTGTGTGTTTTGTACTTATGGTACTGCTTTGACAGATTCAAAATCAAAAGAGAAACTCTATGAGATACTGGGCTTCCAAACAACTCCACTTTCCTGATGGCAGTCAATGGATGCTTACTTAATGGAGGTGTTAATAGTTTTTGTGATATTGATTATCAGTAAATTAAGAATCAGGAAATCATGCTGCAGAGGGAGCATTGGAAATTTTGGATCTGGGTTACATGGAGAAGTCCTGCTGCCAGCTGTTTTACCAGTGTCAGGGACACCTGGCTCAGCAGAAAGCTTCACCCAAATCACCTGTGCAACATTCCACAAAACTGCCCTTGGTGAGATTGCCAATGGCCTCCCAGTTGCTAAATCCAGGAGTCAATTGTCAGATCTCATCCCGACCTATTAGACATGATTCGTTGTTCCCTTTCCCTCAAAACCATTTGGCCCATGGACACAACACTCTTTCGGGTTTTTCCTAGCTCTTTGGTTGCTCCTTCAAGGTCTCCTTTGTGGCTCCTAATCTTTATCGTGCTAAATGGTTGAGCCATCCTACCCCAAGTCTCTGGGCCTTCTCCAAGCTCTCCACATTCACTCTCTCTGAGATTTCATCTGTGCTCATTCACCGATCTACACAGAGAGGACTTCCAAATATGCATCCAGCTCTGACTCCTCCTTGGGCCTCTAGACAGAATGCCTGGGTAGCTACTATCTCCATCACAGCAGGTTGAAAACTGAGTTTGATTTCCTCCATTGCCCACACCAGATCTTCTTCTATGTTTTCTCATCTAGCAAAGGGTAACTCCATTTGTGCAGTTGCTCAGGCCAAATTCAGAGCCACACTAGATTCTTTTTATTTCTCTCCATCCACATCTATCAATCACCATGTTGGGGTGGTTCTTTTAAATCAATTCTTTTCAATTTAAACTTTGATTTGAGGTATATTATATGTATTAGTTAGCTTTCCATCACTATAACAAAATACCTGAGGTAATCAACTTATTCCACTTCACAGTTGATTGACTCCATTGCTTTTGGACCTGTGGCAAGGTAGAACGTCATGATGAGAGCATATAGCAGAGCAAGATCACTCATCTCATGGCCAGAAAGCAAAAGAAAAAAAGAGGAAGGGGCTGAGGCTCTACATTCCTCTTCAAGGGTACAGTGCCGATGACCTGAGGACTTCCCTCTGAGCCATACCTCTTAAAAGTTACATCACTTCCCCATATTACCATATTACCATATTACCAAGCTTTTAATACCCAGACCTTTTGGGAGACGCTTATTGAAATCATAGCATTGTATATACAGAAAAATCACAAGTGTAAAGAGTCACGCATTTTCACAGTGAACACACTCTTGTTGTTCCCACTCTGGTCAATGAACAGAACATCACCAGTTCCCCACACATTGTGGTCAGTCTCAGCTCCTCCCTGTAGTTCACCACCATCCTCATCTGTTTTTAAACTTTATAAAAGTGAATCATGTAGTATATACTATTTTGAGACGTATTATTTGGCTCAAGATTATGCTTTTGAGGGCCGTCCACATAATGTGAATCTGCAGTGCACTTGTACTCATCTCAATGTAGTATTTCATGATGTGCACATGCCACCATTTATCCATTTTCCTTGAGAGGCGTTTGTGATATTACCTGTTTCTGGTCACTGTAAGTCATGTGCTGTGAGTATTTTTGTACATGTCTCTTGGTACACATCTGCACTCATTATGTGCCTGGGAATAGACTTGCTGGAGCTCATAACACAAAGCTGTGTAGTTTTCTATAGTGGTGGTAACACATTTATGCTTCTACAGCCTTATGTGAAAATTCTGATTGTTGCACAGCCTCCTCAATATTATAACCATTCCAGTCAGCGTGTAATGGTACTTCATTGCGTTAGAATATTTTCCTAATAATGAATAGGGTTAATCACATATTTTTGGGCCATTTTTTTGTGAAGTTCTTGTTCTGGTCTCTTATTGGTTTAAATATCTGTGGGAGCCCGCTGGCATTTGACATTGGAAAAGTAACTTCTACCATTGAGGCATTGACACAATCTATGACTCTATTGGGATTTTCTGAGACAAGGGTCTCAGCTATACAGATGAGAATGACCTGAAACTCACTGTGTAATCCAGACTGGTTTTATGGGATTACGGGCGCGCACCACCACGCCCAGCTCAAGGACTTTGTTAAATTTGACCTTATGATGGGAGGAACTCAGATAGCCAAAGATCTGATCTCCTCCCTAATAGTTGCTTGGTGCTTCCTGTTGGCCTGCCTTTAAAAGGAGCTGTTTCTGTGAAATAAATCGGACCTCTGGTCTCCACACTATTGAGTGTGCTGTCCTTTCTCAATCCTCACTCCCCAACTCAGGTTGTGATGGCTGGGCCGCCACAAATATCTCTTGATATCTTCACCTCCACAGCCAGCTCCTCGTATAGATTGACTCTGGTTTGCCTGCTGGGCTCTCTGTCACTCTATTTCTTTTTTCCCTTCCATAATCTCAACACAGCCAGAGGAACTGCTTGGTTTAAGAGTACATAAATGTCTGAGCTGGGGAGTAGCACCAAATTGCTTTCCAGATTGGTCACATCAATCAACCCTCTCCAGGGATATATGGGAGACCTCCATGGACCCACATCCCTTCCATAGGTAGCATGGCCAAGCTTTTGTTATTGTTGTTTTGTGTGTGTGTGTGTGTGTGTGTGTGTGTGTGTGTAAAATGTTACCTTGTTTTGTGTTTCCTGATCACTAGTGTTGCACATCTCTTTATACTTATTTCCTCCTGACAAGTTTGGCCCATGTCTTTGTTGTGTTCTTTGTGTTTTTTGTACACATTTGAAAAAGGTTTTCAGTGTAGTCTTAGTGGCAGATATTGTAAATCTCTTCTTTCAGCTTTTAGCTTGCCTTTTAAGGTGCTATCTGATGGACAAATATTTATAATTCTAATGTAGTCATATATCAGTTTTTTTATTAGATATTCATTGTTTGATCTGATTAGGGAAAGCTTTTTCTACTTATATTTTCCATTTGAATTTTAAACATTTGCTTTTCTTGTGCAAGTTCTTCACTTACTGGATTTTCTTATATAGTAGGAGCTAGATTCTAATTTTATCTTTTAACATATGGATAACCATTTTTGTGAGTTCCATTTGTTGAATGTGGCCCCTTTCTTGCCCAGTGATATGGTATGCCATTTTTATCACATAGCAGGGTTCTATACATGCCCGGTCTGTGTCTTGGCCTTATTCTCAGCCATTAGTCAATTTATCGACCTTTGCCACAGCCACACCATATTAATTATTTAGTTCTACTATCTGGGAGAAGGGCTGCCTCTTTGCTTTTCTATCTTAGAAGAGTCCAGGCTAACAACTGATCATTTACTCTTCCATATAAATTTTAGAGTTATCTTAATTAATTTCAAAATCTTGTACTCTCATTGAGTCCACAGCTCCTTTTGCAGAAACACACATGTGAAAAAACTGAGAATACATTCAATTTATAAATTAAATAAGGAAGAACTGACTTTTGTGTATTGACTATCTATCCTGAGACTTTGCTGTTTTTACTTATTAGTTCCAGGAGATTTTTTGTAGATTCTCAGGGGGTTTTCTTCATAGATAACCATGTCACCTGAGTGTCAAGATAGTCTTACCTCTACCTTCCCAGTCTGTGTGGCTTTTTATTTCTTTTTCTTGTGTTATTGCACTCTTGACTTTAAGAGGAAAGTACCGTGTCTCACCATGGAGTTTGAGGTTATCTGTAAGTTATCTATAAATGTAATCTATCTACACCTAGCTATTCAAGAGTTCTAATCGTAAGTGGGTGTTGGACTTTGCCAAATGCTTCTCCGCATGAATGGATATGATCATAGGACTTTGTAATTCTTGAGCCTTTTGATATGGTGGGTTGGTTTTTGAGTGCAGAACTAAGGTTTAGTTAAATAAGAAGGTTTGGGCCTTCTTGTTTCCGCACTTTGTTTCTCTTTATCGCCCTCTCCATTCCACGATTATCACTGGCCTCCTTTTTTGAACAGTTCATGAAATCCACAAGCTCAGTAAACGCATGTCCTCAATATGAGAGAATCTAGGCTACAGAAAGATCCACAAGAGGGGAAGTGAATAAGAAAGAGGGTGCGGAAAGGAGCAAAGAGCCAGAGGAAGAGCCTGCAAGGTCAGCAGGGAGCAGCGGCTCCCTCTGGTGGTCATCCTCAGGCGCTGCGGGCTATATGGACTGCTCCCAAAACGGGGCTGGAGAGGGCGCAAGAGAGTCTTGAGTAACCCGGTGGGGGGCAGCAATTTAATGAGAGAGGACTCCTGAGTCTAGTGCTTGTGGTTTTGGTTGGCACTGGGCTGTTGGTCCCTCTGCAGGCCTTGCCTGGATGGAGGCTCCTGAGCTTTCTGAGACTGTCATATTGAGCCCTGGCCCCACCTGTGACAGGCGTGCTCTGGAGGGT